TACTAAAGTCTAAGGTCGAGAAGAAAATATGAGTGTTTGGGATTACAGAAGGTTGCTTGCAAAACAACAACAATAAAAATGGACTAGTGTAGCCCAAAATTTACAGTTTGTGGTGACAGGCAGTTTTTTCAGGTTAAGTCTTGCCCCATACACGCTTGGTAGCTAATGCAGCACAACATTGCTGAAATTAGCCAAGTCAGTGTTTCCTCATCTGTAGCAGAAGGCTAATATAGACATCACAGTTGTGAGAACTGAATGTGCATTGAGTGAAATACTCATCCCTCCCTCTTGCAGCCTATTCCATATTATCACCAAATCATGAAAGCCTTTGGAATGAGATCTAGGTACAATGTTCCTTGTTAAGGATTTCTAAGGTCAGAAGCATGAGCTATTGAGTCAGACACATCTTTCTATACTTGAATCCTGATTCTATCACTTATCTAGCCTTTTTGTTTTAGCTTTTTTAGTCTCAATTCCTTCAAGACCACAAAATGCTTACATGGCAGGATTGCTGTCTGATATAATAACAAAATTCATTCTGTGTTGGGCACTCTGAATGTATGATCTCTTTGTTATATCTCCACAACAATCTAGTAAGTTAATGTTATCAGTATCTGCATTTCCTAGTTGAGGGAATGGCCACCTATGGATGATCACAGCTAGGAATGACAGATTGGGACTTAAGCCCAGGTCTCTTCTGTCTCAGAAGCCTGGCTTACAACTCATATGCTATCTTGCCTACCCAGTGATATGAATGAAACAATATAAAATGCTCAACACATTGTGGAACCCTAGTAAAGTGCTATTCAGTAGGGCATCCAGGTATCTGCAGCCATGTAACAGAGCCATGAGGACAAGCATCTGTTTCACTCTTCCTAGACATCCCCAGCTGGCAATGAGCTACCACACACTAAAATTCAGGAGGGGCAGGAGGGCTGGGAAAGACATTGCACTGTTTGTGTCAAATTCCACTTGTCTAATGGACTTGTTAAAAGCACCCTGGGTGGAAAGTGTGAGTCTTAATGGCATTTTATAAAAGTTACTGTGATGAATTAGCACATAAAGCAAATTAAAAACAGCTTATCGCTTTTTAAATTAGGTGATGGGGCATTGTAGCATTTTTCCCAGACGTGAGGCTCCGGTAGTATCCAAAGGAGCCAGAAGCTGCTGAAATGTGTCAGCTGCCTGGTTTTAGGAACCTGACAAGTCTGAATCTGTGTAACACTAGAGGGGCAGTTTGTCCAAGATAAACAGAGCCCATGCAAAAGCATGCTGCTGAGCTCTCCAAAAGGATATCCATTGCTAGAGGCAGGAGTTGGGGCTTCCCCTTCAGGAATCTTGGGAGCAATGGAGCACATTCAGTGAATGAATGATCTGGTAAAAACTTCCAGGAGCACTCCTCCCCTTCTCAGCCTTACAAATGGGGGTGCTGAGACTTTCACTGGTCATCTGAAAATTTTCATAGACCATACTGAGGATCTGCATGGGCCCTGTGCCATACTGGGTTCTAAAGATAAAGAGGTGCTTCAGATGTCTTTATATGCAGTCCAGAAAACATGTATTGAGTACTCACTGGGGCCAAGCTGGTGTTGCAGAACTTCACATATAACATTTCATTTAATCTTCACCACAACTCTTTGAGGTAGCTGTTATTATGCAACTTTTACAATGAAGAAAACTTGAGGCCCAGAGAGGTTACATAATTTGTTCAAGATGGCACATTTTAAAACCCAGGCAGTCTGGCCCTAGAGCCTACATTCTTGGCACCACATGCCAGCTTTCCTGATGGCTTCTCTATCTCCACTCCTCTCACTCGACATCCAGGAGCTTGGAACCAAGTGAGCAGTTCAAGTACTTTTAGGATAAGAAATTCTGGGACAAGAATTAAGGAGTGAGGGACCTTCACAAATTTAAACAGGTAGTTAGCTCTGAAGGAAAGATTTAAGATCCTTTCTACTGCTAAGTCATGAGCATAGCCAGAGGGCAACAGTCTAGGAAATTGAGCAATATAATAAAATGGCCATAAAAGTAGTTTTCGAGTCCGACTTCATTTTATATTCAGTCTCTCCAACACGTATACATGTGACCTGGGGCAGGGCCCTTAGCCTCTTTAGATTCCTTTAGACTCCTCTAGGCTCTTCATCTACAAAACAGAGATACTAATTTTTTCTCTTAAAGTTGTTATGATTTCAAAAATAACAGTAATAACAAAGTGCCAGATTGCCTAATAAGATCACAAGCAGTGGTAGCCATTATATCTCTCATCTTTATCACTAGCTCACCATCACCACCTCCTTCCTCCCAGGTTGGATGGGGGACAAGGTAAAGAGCACTGAAGTGTAACTTAGGTCTGGAGGCTCAAATCCCAGCCCTGGGTTGCTGCCACTAAGCACAGCCCTGTATCCTGGGGTCAGTCAGTCAGCCTCCCTCATCTGTAAAAAGGGGATGGTACTCCCTCTCATACCTTCTTCACAGGAATGGGTCAAGTTGCAAGGGAGTGTATGTAAAATTGCTTGCAGTCTGAAGAATGTGTGCTGGGTTCTACACAACAACACATGGGTTGGCAGTTCTCTACAAGCTTCCACAGGATTCAACACAAACTTGTTACTATGGTTTATTACAACAAACAGATATAAAGTAAAATCAACAAAGGAAAAAATCCTAGAACAAAGTCTACAGGAAATGAGGTGTGAGCCTCCAAGACTCCTCTCTCAATGGAGGCACATAGAACATGCCTACTCCTTCCAACAAAAAGCTGGGAGAGCAGGTGTGAAATGTTGTTTGCCAGTGAAGCTCATTAGATACCAGGGTCCAGGGTTTTTACTGGAAACTGGTCACATAGGCACCCCCTGCCTGGAACATACCACAACTCCAGACTCCCAGAAGGAAAATAGGCGGTCAGCATAACAATATTGTTTGTATTAGGCACATAGGTATTCTCGTCAAGAACTAGTGGGAACCCTTCCAAAATCTTAAGTTCCCAGATGTCAGCCAAAGAGCACCATTGCAAAAAGTCCTCCTTATGGATAGCAGTCTCAGGCCTGCTTTGTTAACTCTTTTTTTTGCACAGAGTGGAATCTATGGAAAGGATTTTGATTAGTATACACTCAAAAGGGAAAGTTTTCCGCCTGGCCGGAACATAAACTTCCGGTCGGGCCGAGTAGTTCATACATACTGGTTATCACTCTGTGCCAGGCACTGTGATACATACTTTACATAGATTACCTCCTGTAACTACACAACTCAGTATTGGAGGTGCTATTATCATCACCACCATCATCATCATCACCACCACCACCATATTATATATGAGGAAACTGAAGCCCCAGAAAGGTTAAATACCTTGCCCAAGTAACCAGCTGAATGACTAGTGAGAGTAGAACCAGGACATGGCCCCACCTGTGTGGCCCTAACTGCTATGCTATCCTCTGCTACAGTGCACCTACCAGGGGGTAGGTGCTGCATGTGTGTTATTTCATTAACACTTACTAGCAGCTCTATTAGAATGTGGTTGTTGGAGTGATTTTGTATCAAAAACCCTGTGATTAAGCAATGTTACTTAGTTTGTCATATCAGATAGCCAGAGAAGTGAAAGCATGAGGAGCAGGTCTCTGTCACCCTCCAACCCCTTTTCTTGGCTAAGGCTTTGTCTGAGCCTTTGGTACGGAAAATGGATTTTTTTTTTTTTCTGGAAGCTCAGACCTGGAAACTCTTTGAATTTCATCACTTAGGAATGGAAGAAGAACTGTATTATAATTCAGCTTCTGTAGTATTTAAGAAATAAACACTGTCTTTGGGCTCTTTTTGGTTACTACGACAGCACATGTGACATTTCCTTAATGGGGGGCGGAGGAAGAAAGAAAAGAACTGCTCTTGGTTCTCAATGATTTTAGAAAAATTAATTCTCCAAATCTAGCTTATTTTACCAGAATAGCAGTCACAGGTCAAGAAAATTCTTAGAATGGAATCAAAGGAATAAATAGAGAGGTGGTGAAATCTGCTTCTCCTAGGAAATCATGAACTGTACATGTGTGGTAGTAGTTTTTGAGAGTGCGGGATACAACAGGATGAAGGCAATATAGGTCTTGCAATAAATTGTCACCTCCTTAAGACAACAGCTTAAGAAAGGTTCTATTCACCATTGTTTTTCTGCTTCTAATCCCTGCACCCACCAGTCATAAAATGCCAATGCATTGGCCTTAGTGAAGGCTCAGTTAAAGCTCTTTAGTGAGAGAGACATGATACAGACAGCAAGTATCATAATTCAGAGTGATAAGTACAGTGATGATACAGGCTTAGCATCTTACAGAAGCAAAATGATTTTTAATAAATAAATAAAAATCTTCATAGCAAAAAGAATGATTTGTGAGGTTGTTCATATGAAATTGGTCTACTATATACACATAAACAGATCTATGTATATATTTTTATATATAGTCATTTATTGCATTTTAAACATTCATTCAGGTTATTATGTTAACCCCTTCAACCATCCAATATCAACAACAGTCCAATATTCTATTGTTGGAAGAATTACAATCCTCTACATGTGGGCATGTTAAGTTATTACCATTTTCCCCTATTATAATGGAAATAGTCTATAGGATGATACATCTGAGAATACTTGTTATAACACAAAATAATCTATTCATTTTATTTCTCTTTTTAGTAATTTTTAAAATGTGATTGTAATGGGAGAAAAAAAAAGTCTCTCAATTAGATAGTAAACTGACTTTCTCTCCCCCATTATCACCTTGTAACATCTAACAAAAGAAGAAGACCTTGATTTCAGGGACCTAGAGCTCCTTTGCAATCCCTAAGGAGAAGCAAGAACTAACCTCCATCTGTAACCAAAACAATGGGAATGAGTTCTGTCATCCTGTGGCTTGAGATCAAAAGATTATGGGTTCTCAGGGCAGGCATGAAAATTCAAGAACATGAATTTTAAATCCATACTATCAGAGATTTCTAACCATGCCCTCTTCTGTCATTTCTCTCAGAGCCATGTTTGACTATGACAAGAGCAAGGACAGTGGGCTGCCAAGTCAAGGACTTAGCTTTAAATATGGAGATATTCTCCATGTTATCAATGCCTCTGATGATGAGTGGTGGCAAGCCAGAAGAGTCACTCTGGAGGGAGACAGCGAGGAGATGGGCGTCATCCCTAGCAAACGGAGGTAAGAATGCTTTTCATACATCAGAATATTAGCTCTTCAGCTAAAGAGGGTGTGGAAATAAAGGAAGAGGAAGATGGAGGAAACTGTTCACAAAATATATTTAAGTGGGATAGACAATCTGCAGGAAAATTGTCAGTGGTGACAGGTGACATGAATAAAAAAAATCTCATTTTCCTCATTTTAGGATTTTACCAAAATTGGTAACTGTGACAAGGCATAAAGGAAAAAAATAAGATCTGCTTACACTGTGTTCCTCAAACTTTTCCCAGAATCTCTCTGCAGGTGCAAGGTTATGCTCACCAGCCTGTATGCTGACTTACCAACTCAGTAGGTTTATTCCAGATGTTCAGCATTTACCAATGAATTTTACAAACAGTGAAAGACAAATAAAGTAGATGATTTATTAAACTAAGTCCCTGGCTATGTAATATCTTTAAATATTGATGAAAAAAAAACAGAAAACCTTCAAATGCAAATATTTAGGATATAAGATGCCAAATACCTGGTAAAGTCTAATGATTCGGTTTACAGCTGTTTCTTTTATTTTTCATTGTTTTAGTTAGTCATATTCCCCACCCCACAATTCCCAACAGTCACTTAGATATTTATTTCTGTATAAGTGTTTCTTGAGTCAAGAGTATGATGCCCTTTCCCTTGCAAACATTTCTTCAGCTCTACTTTTGGAAGACAGAAATATGCCTCAGAACAGCCAGTGCCTTCATCTGTCCCAGCAGATTCTAATCATCACCACTAGAGAACTGTTCTCCCCACAGGTGTCCTTTTGGCAGCAAAATGTTGTCCAAGAAACAAAAATTGACTCTTCGAAAATAGATTTGGTACAAAATCAGGAATGATGGTTGCTCAAAGCAGTCATCAGGGGGTTTTTTTGTTTGTTTTTGTTTTGTTTTGTTTTGTTTCAGTCTGTGGGTTTTTCTAAGAGCTCTCATTCTTTTTTTTTTTTTTTTAATTTATTTTTATGTGGTGCTGAGGATCGAACCCAGGGCCTTGAACATGCGAAGCTAGCGCTCTACCACTGAGCCATAACCCCAGCCCCTAAGAGCTCCCATTCTTATATCCAAAACCCCAACATACCTTTATGAAAACTCCCCAGTGAAACTGAATATTCAGTGCTGCTGCACCAAAGTGATATAATGATGGAGCTAGTACAAACCACAGTGAAAAATTGTAAAGTATACCTCCAGAGCAACTCTGCGGGACACTCATGACCCAGGGAAGACAGTTCTCATCTCTGCCTGTGGCCACACAGCCCCCAGGGAGGAATGCGAGGGAGGATGGTGTTACAGTGAAGTGACGGAAACTCCAGGATGCTTTGCCATCCTCCAGGCCTTTGCCTGTGGATCTCCCCTCAGCAGACTGTTCTCTGGGTAGCTTTAAGCATCTAGGCTCCTGTCATTGCTTGGCCAGGGCATTCTATCTTTGTAGTATGGCTTGTAGTGTTTACTGAAAGGCTATATTCAAAGCAGTGACTCTTAGTAATTGTTTTCATTTAAAAAAAAATGTTAAACATGCTTTTGGAGTTCCTTTGACATAATCAGAGATGTCTGAAGAGCTCTTCTCTATAAGAAAGCGGTGATCTTATTGAATATAACCCCAAGGATAGAAATGGGGTGGAGGAAAGAAAGCTAATCGAGGAATAGACTTCAGCTCATTTTCTAGAAAGCCTTCTACTACTTGTAGAAGTGGCAGGAACCACATGGGAAGATATAAAAAGGATTCAAATTCTGGATGGGAGAATTGAACTATGTGACATTCAGGCCCATTTCAATCCTGAGGTTCTGTGAGTCTTCTAATTATGTCAGAAGTCACCCATTTGTTCGTTTACTCATTTTTCCCCTGAGGAATATTTCAGTGTTATTCCTCTTGAAATAATTTTCCATCTGCTGTTGATTGTTCTTTTTTTTCCAATTTTGGTGGGGTTATTTTTTGTTTGGTTTGGTTATACGTGACAGTAGGATGTATTTTGACATATTATACATACATGGAGTTTAACTTCTCATTCTTGTTTTTGAATTGGCTATTTCTCTCATACTTTGGATAAAACCAATTTAACAAGTACACTGAAGCTGGGCTGAAGGAATTTGTCCAGCATCTGCAATACTGACATTTATTTGCATTCTATTTCATGAAGGATGCAGTAATACTACCTCACAAATATGTGTATTTTATTTTATGTAAGTATTTGGTTTTTTTGTCTTGTTTCATTTTAGATGTTATTTTATTATTCACTTATTTATATGAGGTGCTGAGAATTGAACCCAGTGCCTCACACATGCTAGGCAAGTAACTCTACAACTGAGCCACAACCCCAGCCCCAACATGTGTTTTTATAAAATAAAATATACTTATTTATTTAAGTATATATATGTATTTATGTTTATTTTATGTAAAATTTATAACTGTAAGTGAATTTCTAACAGATTTTCTCCTTAGGATTTTAATTTTTTCAAAAAGTTATTCTCACTGTTTTATGTATTTATAAAAGTGTTACATCTCACAATAGAAAAGTAGGAAACTTTAGAAAACTTTGAGGAAGGAATTAGAAATCCTACCTCATACAGAGTCCTCATATACTAACATTAAAGCAATTTAAATAAATGTATTAGATTGTTTTTTAACTCCTAATTCCTTTTTTTATCCTAGTTCCTGAGTATATTTCAATTAGCAGAGCTGGTCTGGAAATATTTCATAATGGATAGCATCTGTATATGTCTTCATTTCTTACAAAAATGTTTCTCTGTTGATGATTCCATTTAATCATCCCAATAAAACTATAATGCGAAGGATATCAACATTGTCATCCCTCCTATCCTTTTTTGAAGATGATGAATATATTTATTTAGTAAAATACTCCCATAGCATGCTACCACTATTTGAAGTCCTTTATGCTTATTAACTTATTTAAACCTCATTACAACTCTAAGAGTAAGATGCTGTTATTATCCCCATTTTACAAATGAGGAAGAAAGGCTTTAAGGCACAAAGAGGTTAATTTGCCTGAAATTGCCCGTCTACTAAGTGGCAGGAGTGGGGTTTGAATTGAGGCTAGAATTGCTCTTTACTCATATACAATCTCACCTCCCAACGGTGGAAAAATAAGAGTTGACAAAATTGAAATTGAGCAAGCATTGCTTGGGCAGTGTCTATATGCCAATTGCTGTTATAGGAGCACTGCCTGGAGTCCACCACTTATGAGACTAATGTAACTGTGTCACAGCTATTCTGTGACTAGGATGATGAGGGCTCTGTTGTAAAGGTACCAAGGGAAGTGAAAAGGCAGTAGATGGAGGGATAAATTCTATCTGATGGTAGCACAGATATGTCATAGTCTGGGTTTTTGTTGTTGTTGTTGTTGGTGGTGGTGGTGGTGGTGGTAATGAAGGTTTTATGACTGAATAGCATAGACTAGGTCATTCAAAAAGTATAGAGGTTCATTTAGCTTTCAGTTCTGGAGGCTGGAAAGTCCAAGGTTGAGGGACCACATCTAGGGAACATCTTCTTGCTTGTGGAGACTCTGCAGAATCCTAAGGCTTTGCAGGGCATAATGTGATGAGAGGGTCCAGACAGGAGAGAACCAAATTGCCTTTTATAACAGACCCTCTCTCATGATAACCCATTAATCTACTAGTACATCATTGCATTAATCTATTCATGAGGGCAGGGTCCTCATAACCCAGACAGACCCTAAAGGTCATACCTGTCTCATCTTCTAATAATTCTCAATGGTGATTAAATTTCAACCTGAGTACTGGTAGGAACATTCAAAATATAGCACTATGTATTGTGCCAGATGCTTTCAAATATGTGATTTCAATTTAATCTTAAGGAAAGCCTTTTAAGGAAACAGGGTCAGAGAAATCAAGTAACTTGCCCTAAGATGCACAGCCAGGCCATGGCTAGACACAGGTCTCTCTGGTAGCAATGCTAGATGACTTTCTACTATACCAGGAGCATTATTTTTGGAACACTTCCAATTATGGAAATGGAGTTTCAGAGAACTCAAGTTGCCTGCCAAAACCATGCTGGCAGCAGAGTGCTAGGCCAGGATTCAAACAAACACTTTTCTTATACCTCTATGAGCACCTGCCAAGGTGTGAGCTCCTCCTAGTCCTTGCAGCTCTCAAGTCTGGTGGCACATATGAAGATCCCCTCACAGGAAGAAAAGGAAGCCCATGCCTTTGTTTCACGCAGGGAGGGGCTGACCATAACAGTGAGCCCCTGAGGCAGGGCATCTGTGTTACCTCCCTTTCACAAGGTAAGGACATTGTGAGTATAGATGGCAAGTGACTTCATGAATGGAATTATCACAATCAGTTTAGCAGCAGCCTGTTGTTCTATGTATCAGAACTTGTTATAAACAATTTTCTTGTATTGTCTCATTGAACATTTACCATAATCTTTGAAGTCTTTGTTACTATTTTGCCAACATGAAAACTAAGTTCCTAAAAGGCCGAATCACTGCCCTAAGTCACAGACCCAGTAAGTGACAGAGATAAAATTTAAACCCAGCTGGCGTAATTTCAAAAGCTAGACTTTTAGAATAGAATCTCTGTTTTCCAAGTTCACATAGCTTACGAGTAGCCAAACCATGATCTATCTCACAGTCTCTTGAATCCAGGTGTCTGTTCATTGTTCCACTGTGACTGTTCACCTGAGCTCTTGGACGACAGCTTGGGTCTAGCATTACATAAGAGTTCGCTCACCTGGCTTTCACAGCAAACCTGTGGCTACTAACATGGATGGTATTTCATTCTCCCTCTGACAGGGCTTGTGGAGCACAGGAACTCCCAGTGACAAATCATGTTCCTACTATACAGTTCTCCAAACCTGACCCAATTATGTGATTGGCTAGAACCTGAAAATACCAGATGGGAGATGGGGAAAAGGGAGAGGGAGACAGTTGGGCTCATTAAAGTATGACCATTTGGTGCTATCTGGAGATGCTAGGTGTCAGAATTGATTGCTCAAATTTTGCCAGCCAGTTTGTTTTTAGAATTTTGGTCAGTGGCAAGACTAGGGCGGGGAGGATTATTTCTGCTTAAACAATCTAATTAATTGCTTGAGTCTAAGTGCAAGAGAAAAGTACAGCACTGGTTCTCATTGCAGTCTGTGTATACAGGTGGTCCCACTATTTCTGTAAACTGTTAGACCTTAATATCATTTTTTTCCAAAGGGAACATACTTATTGTAACAATAAGAGAATGTGATGCTAAATTTTTACCAAGATTGAAGAGAAAAGGTTATGAAACAGTGAACAACTTTTTGTAGGAAACAGTGGTTGTTCAGCAAGTCCCTTAACCTGTCTGAGCCTTAGTTTTCACATCTAGGTAGAGAACTAATAGTCTCCTTGAGAATTTATTCACTCATTCATTCAATCAAGATTCTCTAAGCATCTACTGCATGCCCAGATCCATGTTAAGTCCTGGACCATTATACAGATTACAGATAAAATAGGTAAAGTGCTTAGCACAGCTTCAAATACTTCATGTTTGCTTAAATGACAGCTATTTTCCTTTTTTTTTTTTTTTAAGATTTTGAGCTTTTGGTGCCAGAGAAAATTACACCACATTATTTAAGGTTTTATTTCTGATCCTTAACTCTTATTTTAGCAGCAAACTATCCATATCCCAGGAAGAGCTAGGAGAGAGAGTTAGGGGCTAAAGTGGCCAGTAAGGGGTTGAGGGAAATACACTGCCACCAAAAAGAGAGGTTTGCAAAGAGCCCTCAAAGGCATTTACCATAGGCCTTTGTAGTGGAAAATCAAAATCCTGGTTACTGGAATGGTAAGGTGGGAGACCAATTCAGTATGTGTGATGTAATTTGCAAAGGGGCATTTAGCTAAACTGACTTCAGTGTTCAAAGCAAATTTATTTTGAATTTTGAGGCCAGCTCGGTATGGTGCTCAATGATTATATACTTCAATTTTGTTGTGGTTTATATAATTCAGAACATCTGGGTGATGGGGGATACAAAGGAAGGGGATGTTTATCATTTCTCAAAAATTCAGTCTAGACTTCTAAGGGTATGTATGGGTCTTAATCCTATGAATGACCCACCCCAAAACCTCATGTTTTTTTGAGAATTTCCACTAAGTCGGGCATGGAAGATCCTAGAGTACTGTTTGTCCCAAACTGAGTGGCTGTGGAGAGACACCCATGATCATGTTCATCCTGTTTCTACCACTTTCTAGTTTGGTAAGCTTCAAGTCTGAGCTCTCTCAGCCATAAAATGGAGTTGATAATACCTACATCACTGGGTCACTATGGGCGCCAAATGAGATGATATAAAAGTGAAGGAAATTCACTGGTAAAGTTGTTAAAACTTTAGCTACCATTTACATTATCATCATTCCTGCAACTTTGCACCCAAATAAAAAGCAAAACTGTTCCAACTTCCTTCATGAGTGAACCAAAACTTTTACCTGAATAAGCTTTTAAAATTTTGTTTTCTTTTCCTGTTAACTGCTTGAAGATTAACCTCATATTCACCATGGTTTATTATTAACATATGGATGTGCATTTGTGGGTGTCTTTGTGTCTGACAATATTCTTTGACAACCTTTTAAGGTTTAAGTGATGAACCAGTAATATTGGCCTAGTAAGGACATCAAGAAAATAGAAAAGGATAAACTTTAGGGAGGGAAATAGAATGCTCTGTCCAAATAATTCTTAGGTTTGAATTCAGACTTATATTATGTATATTTGGGGACTGTGTGACTTCTTTGAGTTTCTGCAGAATTTATTTGCATAATATGATCAAACAAACATTCTTCTCCACGTGCTACAGTCATTTTGGCAGCATCAAATGAATTAGTAATTCCCATCGTTTGCCTAGTTAATTCTAAGTAGCCAGAATAAAGTCAGGACTCTCACAACACTTTTAGAAGACTACAAAAGAGATGAATATGAATTATCATTTGCACTTGGATTAAAAGAGAAAAACTGGTGAAGTTCAGAACAGGCTTTTTCCCAATGAGCACTTGGCAAGTTAGCTTATCTGAAAATTTTCTTACTTTCCTCCTAACTGTTGTATGTTGGGTTCAAAACGAAACTCTCAGTGGAACATATTGCTTTAATACCTGAGGTTAGATTTGAAAAATGTTGTTCATCTGTTTCCACTCAAATATTCTACACTCAAACTGAAATAAATGTATTCTGAAACTTTATTCTGTAACCATGGAAACCCTGATCTTTACTGCGTTTCAGCTGGAAACACAAAAGAACTCTCAGTTGGAAAGGAATATGCTGTTAATTATTGATTTATGAATTGCTTAGCTTCATAAACCATTAAGTTCCTATAGATTCAGGGTCTTTTCTTCCCTTGCCCTTATTTTCTTTCCCCAAACAGAAAAAAATGAAATTAAGCCTAGCTGAATTTAAACAACAACAACAAAATCATGCTACCATAATGCATTGGATATTATTTTTTATTAAGAAATATTCATTAAGCTCTTGCTATAACATGCTAATGAGATATATGTACAGTCTTCCCCTTAAGGAACATACACCTATATGCAATGCAAAACTAAACAGAAAAATCAAGAAATAATATTGACATAGGTATTAAATTAAGTGCCATTGTAGCTTGGAGGAAGCAAGGTTCATGTCAATCTGAAGAGACTCAGAAAAATCAGGAAATATATGTCGATTCCCTTTCATTTCTGACCTTGAAATATGCACAAGTCCTATCAATACTTTTTCCTTGTACTTCTCTAGCCCTTCCCTCTTCTCTGCCTCATTATCATTTCTTTCCTAACTATGAAAACAGCTCCTAAATAGGCCCGCTAGCCTCCTCCTATTTTTTTACTTCCCCAGTCTATATTCCACATATACCAGGATCATTTAAAATATTAATTTAATTGTATCACTTCCTTACTTTATGACCACTAATAACTCATGAGGATTCCTAAAAGGAAAAACTTCAGTCCTTGAAGTGGATTCAGACCCATTTCAAGAGGCCCACCACCTGGGCCTCTCCTCCACATCCTGTTACTCATACGCATACCACAATTTTCTGCAATCTTCTAGTGCATTCCCGTTCCTCCTGTCTGGAAATTCCCCCTGATAAGCTTTCTCATTCTTAAAGTCCCCCATGAATTCACTCCTTCTCCAAGAAAGAAGCTCATCCCAATGCTTTCCACCCCTTTTCACCTTCCCAATGAGATGAATGCACCCACTGAATATCAATAGTCTTACTGAAGAAAAATATCATTCCTTGTTTACATCTCTGTGCTTGCCAAGGGATATTGCAGTCATGCTTTTAAAATATTTTTATTTGTTCTCCAACTCCTCTTTAGTACATGTTAGACACTCAAAAAATGTTTGATGAATGAGTGAAGTGGTGGGTAAAATGATAAATCCACAGAAGCAACAGAAGGATATTGGGCTTCTTGATAAAAAAAATTCAAGATTGTACATAATGCATTTGATTAACAAATGAAGCTAAATACAGTAATATTCTTACAGGAAGGGAAGGAAAAAGAAAAAGGGAAGGGGAGTAAATCTCATTTCATCTTCATTTTAGGTGTTTGTCCCTATGGACTGCAATTTCTTGAAATAGATTTTGATTGATTGATTTAGCATTTAAAATAACAAATATCATTTTTTTTCTCCCTCTTTGTTCCTTCCAAATACTGTGACTCTCAGCCCATGTAACATAAAATTTTCAAGGGCTATATTAGATGCTTGGAGACTTTATACCAAGATTTTTATACTAAACAAAGGAAGAGAAATATTTTAAAATAGGTTTTACTTGAGTTGTAAGAATAAGGATAAGGTGTTCTTAATCGTAAATGCCTTGTCATATGATAGACTCATTATTTTCCCCTTTTCTTTAGGGTGGAAAGAAAAGAACGTGCCCGATTGAAGACAGTGAAGTTTAATGCAAAACCTGGAGTGATTGACTCAAAAGGGGTAGGTACAAAATGAAGCAAACATAAAGTTCTCTCAGTTGCCATGGATTTAATGATAATCGAGATTTAGACTTATGGCAGCAAACAAATTATGGAGCCACTAGATGGTATAATACTGTTACAAATGTATTGCTAAAAGTAACAATGCCATTTCTTATAAAATGGAATAATGGTGAATATATTAAATACAGAGGGTAAAGCTAGTGGTCCTCAGAAATGATGTGTTGATGGAGGTGAGGTAATGACTGCAATGAAGAAGAAAACACTGCAGTTTTCATGACTTTACTTTTCTAAAATTAATGTTCTAAAATGTTGGATTTCATAAAAGGTATCTGCTTATTAGAAAACATGTCTGGTTTGTTACACATTATAAAGTTAAGACAAGGGTCATGGAAATATTCACATGGGTCATTTAAGTGAATATGTGGATTGTTGTGACAGACATAGAAAAGGAGAGAATTAACAAATCTCCAAAATTAAAATATTGACTCACACACACGTACATCTTTTTAATATGACAGCTTTCATGAGATAAAAATTACATATCATACAAGTAATTGAGTTAAATTCGAAGTGTACAACCATCATAACAGTCTATTTAGAGTACTTCATCACTGCATAAAGAAATCCTGCATTGATTAAGTCACTTCCATTTCCCCTAACCTTCTTTCCCCATCCAGCCATAGGCAACCACTAATCTACTTTTTTTCTAGAGACAGAAAATGTGCCTATAGATATTTTATACAAAAGGAATTATTTACCTTATGGTCTTTTGTGCCTACTCATTCATTTTACATGATGTTTTCAAGTTGTATTTGTGTTGCTGTACATATAAGTACTTCATTTCTTTTTATTGCCAAATAATAGTCCATCGTGTGGAAATACTTTTAATATATCCATTTATCCTTTGGTTATTCCTGACTTTTAGTTATTATGGATAATACTGCTATGAACATTTGTGTAAAAAATTTATGTGGACCTATGTTTTTATTTCTGTTGAATCTATACCTGAGTTAAATTGCTGGTATCAGCAATATGATAACTCTAGGCTTACCATTTTGAGGAACTGCCAGAGTGTTTTCCACTTCACATTTCAACCAGCAGTATATGAGGGTTCCACATTCTCCCCATCCTCACCAACACTTAGCATTGTATTTCTTTTTTGCATAGCCATCTTAGTTGATATGAAGTGGTATTTCATTGTGATTTGATTTGTGTTTCCCTATGACTGTTGATGTTGAGGATCTTTGCATGTTCTTGTTGGCTATTTGTATATATTTGAGAAATGTCTATTTGGGTCCTTTGCCCATTTTTAGATTTGGAGTTTTGTTGTTGTTACTGATTTGTAGTACATCATATATTCTGGTCATTAATTCCTCATCAGACAAATGCCTTTCAAATAGTTATTCCCATTCTCTGTGTTATTTTTTTACTCTTTTGATAGTGCCCTTTGAGATACAGGGTTTTTTAAAATTTTTGATTAAGTTAAGTGTATTTAGTTTTCCTTTTGTTATTTATGTTTTTGATGTGATAGCTAAGAAACCATGCCTAATCCTGAAGTTCTATGTTGAAAAGGATTCTGGGGCTATATATAACATCAACAGAAAAAATAGTTATGATTGATTAGTCATCTCTACCACAATGTTGGAAATTGTTCTCTTTTTACAGTCTCCAGATTCAATGATTTTTAAACAAAAAATTTATGTCAAGTTTTCTTCTAAGAGTTGTACAGTTCTTGCTCTTATGTTTAGGTGTTAAATCCATTTTGAGTTAGTTTTTACATATGGGTAGTGTTGGGGTTCCAATTTCATTCTCTTGTATGTGAAGTATTTTTTAATTTCATTTTTAGGTTGTTCATTGAAAATATGTAGAAACATAGTTTTTGTATTAATCTAATATCCTGCAATCTTCATGAACCCATTCATTTGTTCAAATAGATTTTTAGTAGATTCCTCAAGAATTTCCTATACACAAGATTGTGTCATATGAAAAAAAGAGATAATTTTCCTTCTTTCATTCCAATATTAATGATTTTTGTTTCTTTCTCTTGACCAATTTCCCTGACTAGAACTTCCAATACAAGGTTGGAAAGAAGTGGCAATAGCTGCCATTTGTCTTGCTCCTAATCTTAAGAGAAAGAATTCAGTCTACCATTAAGTATGGTGTTAGCTATAGCTTTCACAGCTTTTGAAATCTATTTTTTGAAGGGGCAATATTTGTATTATGTTATATTGTAAAATAACACTCTACCTTCTCTCTTCCTATTCTCTTTTTCTTCATGTCTTTCCTTTGCCTTTGCATCCTAACAATTGTGGCTTTTGAGTATCATATAAAACCACAAGTTATGGTCAACAGGTGTCACCATGAAAAACAAAAAGAAAAGATATTATTTCTCACACTCAAACCACAGTGTTACCCTTTGAATTTAAAGTAGAAGTATCAATGGGAAGTGAAATAGAAATTTATTTAAGCATATTGGTGTCATTCTTTAAAAAAAGAATGAAAGGATGTAATATCATGACTGTCATGATGAATATATTGCTGTAACTAAAATACCCAACCAAAAAAAAATTAGAAAAGAAAAGGTTTATTTTGGGCTCACAGTTTCAAGATTCAATATGTGGTCAGCTGACTCCCTTGCTTTTGGGCCTGAGGTCATTCAGAACATCATGCTAGAAGGGTATGTCAGAGGAAAAATGCTCAACTCATGACAGCTGAAAGCAGAGAGAAAGGAGCCAGGGACCAAATAAAGTCCCTAAGGACTTGTCCCGAGTGACCTACTTACTATAGCCATGTCCTACATGCCTATAGTTAGTCTTCCAGTAATCCATTCAAATTACTAATCCATCAAAGGGATTAATCCACTAATTAGGTTACTGTTCTCATAATCTAGTCATTTTACATTGGACTATCCCTGCATTTTCTATCTTATGAGCTCTTGGGATGACACCTCGTATCCAAACCATAATAATAACATAGAATGCTTTCAAACAAGTAGTACTTAAATACAAAAAGGTAGGATTTTTCAGTGATTTCTCATGAGAATTTAAATATAGACCTTCTGTTTATTTCATTTGTACAGTTGATATATAAAAGAGAATTTACATTGAAAACCTACCATGTGTCAGACACAGAATAAGGGCTTATGCAGGATACAAAGTGCAGCATAGAGATATCTCTCTCTCTCTCTCTCTCTCTCTCTCTCTCTCTCTCTCTCTCTCTCTCTCTCTCTCTCCCTCTCTCTCTCTCTCTGATTTATATATCAAATATCTTTTTGATGAAGCCAAAGCATGCATGGTATGCTTTTTAATTGTATATGTTAAATGCCATTAGGTATTTAACACTGAATAGAGAGTAAATTCTAAGATTTGAATGACTATTGAAGAAGAGTAAACATGGAACTGAAACCTGGGACTGAAAACGAGGGAGATCAAAACCTGAGCTCTGGTTTCAGTTCATTACTAAGTCACTACTGCTCTTTGGGTCTTACAAACAAATAACAGCTTTGAACTACATCTGGGACATAAAAACAAGTTTCATCTCCTATGTAGACTGAGGGATTGATAGTTTTTACCTGGTTTAATATGTTGAAAAAGATTCAGAAGCCATATATAACATCAACAGAAAAGGTGTTATGATTGATCAGTCATGTCTCGCATAATGTTGAGAATTGTTCTCTTTTTGAGTCTCCAGATTTGATTAAATTTTAAAATGGAATCCATCAGTAATCCTCCATGAGATTTACTTATGTATTAATTGGTAATAAAACTAAATTCTTCTAAATTCCCATGAGACCAGTCATCACTGCACTTTGTTTTGTCCAGAAAACAAAGTTCAGAGAAAGTACACTGAGGAAAGGAGACAGTCTCCCCAGCTCTATGAAGAGTTGGCAAAGCTGAGTCATGAGATGCCACTCACTTTGAGCCAAGGGCAAGGATTTCAGAAATAAATAAGTCATTGTTGCAGAGACCTCAGTGTCTGAGACCTTGGGGGTAAACTCAGGATAAGCTGAGAAGGAAATTGTTTGAAAGGAGAAAGAGAATAGAACATTTTAAATAATCTTATCATTAGCTGGCATTTACAGAACATTGTGAAGTGTCCTGAGTTGTCCAGAGTGAAAATCGTGGCTATTATACTAGAGGAAGCTTTGAATCAATTAGTATCTGTGGAGCAGGCTGTGGCAAGGGCCTTACTAGTAGTATGTACAAGAGCTCTGAGAATTCAGATTAATGGGCAGAGGAGTGACCAGAGCTCTTCATAGAAGAACTTGAACTTCAATTGGCCTTTTGGTGCTTGAGCTTCTTTTCCATGACTATCCATTAATTAAAAGAACATACACAATCAGGGTAACTCCACATCATGTACAATCACAAGAGTAAGATCCTAATTAGAATAAGTTAGACTCTATGTGTATGCCAAAATACATTCTACTGTCATGTATATCTAAAAAGAACAAATAAAATAAAAAGAAGAACATTGAGTGCTGCAAAACACCATGCTCTGTGCTGGATGTCTTGTGGGCCAGGAAACAGAAAGACAAGGTCTCTCATCTCAGTGAACTCTCAAGAACAAATATAGGCAGGCAAACAATAGCAATACATATCACTGATGATCCCATAAATGTAAATGATTAACAGTTTTTATTTAAAAATCAGGACTGAGCCTCAGGAAGATTAACTAACTTATCTAAGTTAAAGTAGGTTAGTTAGTAGTAGGTGTAAGATTCAGGTTTAAATTCAAACCATTTTGACAGAAGAATATCTGCCCTTTCCATTACTTCACGTTATCTTCATTAAGTGTTGGATAAGAGAGAAGCATTAAAAGTATAAGAGATATTTGAGCAGGATCTCAATGTTTGAGTAGGAGTTTGTCATACACATAGAAAAATCATTAAAGTGATCACGGAAATTGCAGACATGTTGGAGTTAGGTGAGGCAAATCCAGGGACACTAGTTCATGGAGATTAAGGTGGGAGTTGTAGCAAATGGGCCTTTACAGGAA